CCGGTCTCTACTCTAGACTCTGACCCTGAGACCCGGTCTCCACTCTAGACTCTGACCCTGAGACCCGGTCTCCACTCTAGACTCTGACTCTGAGACCCGGTCTCTACTCTAGACTCTGACCCTGAGACCCGGTCTCCACTCTAGACTCTGACCCTGAGACCCGGTCTCTACTCAAGACACTGATCCTGAGACCCGGTCTCTACTCTAGACACTGACCTTGAGACCCGGTCTCTACTCAAGACACTGACCCTGAGACCCGGTCTCTACTCTAGACTCTGACCCTGAGACCCGGTCTCTACTCTAGACACTGACCCTGAGACCCGGTCTCCACTCTAGACACTGACCCTGAGACCCGGTCTCTACTCTAGACACTGACCCTGAGACCCGGTCTCTACTCAAGACACTGACCCTGAGACCCGGTCTCCACTCTAGACACTGACCCTGAGACCCGGTCTCTACTCTAGACACTGATCCTGAGACCCGGTCTCCACTCTAGACTCTGACCCTGAGACCCGGTCTCTACTCTAGACTCTGAGACCCGGTCTCTACTCTAGACTCTGACCCTGAGACCCGGTCTCCACTCTAGACTCTGACCCTGAAACCCGGTCTCCACTCTAGACACTGACCCTGAGACCCGGTCTCTACTCTAGACTCTGACCCTGAGACCCGGTCTCTACTCTAGACTCTGAGACCCGGTCTCTACTCTAGACACTGACCCTGAGACCCGGTCTCTACTCTAGACTCTGACCCTGAGACCCGGTCTCCACTCTAGACACTGAGACCCTGAGACCCGGTCTCTACTCTAGACACTGACCCTGAGACCCGGTCTCTACTCTAGACTCTGACCCTGAGACCCGGTCTCTACTCTAGACACTGACCCTGAGACCCGGTCTCTACTCTAGACTCTGACCCTGAGACCCGGTCTCCACTCTAGACACTGACCCTGAGACCCGGTCTCTACTCTAGACTCTGACCCTGAGACCCGGTCTCTACTCTAGACTCTGACCCTGAGACCCGGTCTCCACTCTAGACACTGACCCTGAGACCCGGTCTCAACTCTAGACTCTGACCCTGAGACCCGGTCTCCACTCTAGACACTGAGACCCGGTCTCTACTCTAGACACTGACCCTGAGACCCGGTCTCTACTCTAGACTCTGACCCTGAGACCCGGTCTCCACTCTAGACTCTGACCCTGAGACCCGGTCTCTACTCTAGACACTGACCCTGAGACCCGGTCTCTACTCTAGACTCTGACCCTGAGACCCGGTCTCCACTCTAGACTCTGACCCTGAGACCCGGTCTCTACTCTAGACTCTGACTCTGAGACCCGGTCTCTACTCTAGACTCTGACCCTGAGACCCGGTCTCCACTCTAGACTCTGACCCTGAGACCCGGTCTCCACTCTAGACTCTGACTCTGAGACCCGGTCTCTACTCTAGACTCTGACCCTGAGACCCGGTCTCCACTCTAGACACTGACCCTGAGACCCGGTCTCAACTCTAGACTCTGACCCTGAGACCCGGTCTCCACTCTAGACACTGAGACCCGGTCTCTACTCTAGACACTGACCCTGAGACCCGGTCTCTACTCTAGACTCTGACCCTGAGACCCGGTCTCCACTCTAGACACTGACCCTGAGACCCGGTCTCTACTCTAGACACTGACCCTGAGACCCGGTCTCTACTCTAGACACTGACCCTGAGACCCGGTCTCTACTCTAGACACTGACCTTGAGACCCGGTCTCCACTCTAGACTCTGACCCTGAGACCCGGTCTCTACTCAAGACACTGATCCTGAGACCCGGTCTCTACTCTAGACACTGACCTTGAAACCTGGTCTCTACTCTAGACTCTGACCCTGAGACCCGGTCTCTACTCTAGACACTGACCTTGAGACCTGGTCTCTACTCTAGACACTAACCCTGAGACCCGGTCTCCACTCTAGACTCTGACCCTGAGACCCGGTCTCCACTCTAGACTCTGACCCTGAGACCCGGTCTCTACTCTAGACTCTGACCCTGAGACCCGGTCTCAACTCAACACACTGAGACCCTGAGACCCGGTCTCTACTCTAGACACTGACCCTGAGACCCGGTCTCAACTCTAGACACTGACCCTGAGACCCGGTCTCAACTCTAGACACTGAGACCCTGAGACCCGGTCTCCACTCTAGACACTGACCCTGAAACCCGGTCTCAACTCAACACACTGAGACCCTGAGACCCGGTCTCAACTCTAGACACTGACCCTGAGACCCGGTCTCTACTCTAGACACTGACCCTGAGACCCGGTCTCAAGATACTGATCATGAAAGCCAGTCTCAAGACACTAATGATAATAATAAGAAGTGTTTAGCCTGGATAATTAAATGCTTATTTATGCAATTTTATGAAGATGTTCTCTCCGTTAAAATGTATAATTTTACAACAGGGGGTTAAGAATTCGTGAGAAGTTTTATTTTTTTTGCCGACATTAATCGCTCATCTGTGGTTGTTTTTTTGTGAGCGAGTGCACTGAGAATAAGGAATTAAAATCTGCGCTGAGGCTGTTCCCATGTGAACCTTTCAATTCTGAAAAGTTTCACTCATTCTAGTTTACACATCTAAGTGTATATGTATATACGTTTTATATATATGTAGCGTTTATTTAATTTTATTGTTCTACCTATGTGGCTTTACCGAAAAAACCAAAGAGTGTGGATTCCTGCAGTCACGAAAGCTTCAAATCAAGATCAAAGAGTATATATGCGTAGTGTTCTTACTGGTAGGAACCCACTGGTTCTACCAGCCCACAGGGGATTATTGTGTCCGTCCGCCCGTCCGTCGTGCAGGGAGGGACTGGGTAGGGAGGGTGGGGCTGGGTGGGGAGGGGAGGGTGGGGAAGAGCTGGGTGGGGAGGGTGAGGAGGGGCTGGGCGGGGAGGGTGGGGCTGGGAGGGGAGGGTGGGGCTGTGTGGGAGGGGTGGGGCTGGGTGGGGAGGGGCTGGTCACCCCGTGGTGCCCTTATAAAACTCAACGTTTAACCTACTCACGCCGGCTTGTGCCCGCCCTCACAGTAGGCCATATTTGCGGAATACACCACGCCGCCGTTGACCCTGCAGGCCATTGACCGAGCAACCCAACGTTCCTACCAGCTCCCTCCGCAGGACAATGTGTTTATGGAGGCACACACTTGAACTCGGAGGCAACACGTTGATTTACTCAGCCCAACAGGGACCGCTACGGAACATTTCACAAGTGAACTCGACCCCAACAGGGCAACTACATAACAAGGTCGGTCAGTAACGTAGTGCCGACCGTCCCGTCGAGTATTCGACCGACGACCCTGGGCGGAAACCGAAGACTGTCGGACACGATCGCTCTCTAGCCGTAGTGTCAAGCCGCACCTTACCATAACAAAGGCTCAGTCCTCTTGTTATGTAGACTAGCCGTAGTGTCAAGCCGCACCTCGCCATAACAAAGGCTCAGTCCTTTGTTATGTAGACTAGCCGCAGTGTCAAACCGCACCTTGCCATAACAAAGGCTCAGTCCTTTGTTATGTAGACTAGCCGCAGTGTCAAGCCGCACCTTACCCCCCTTCAGGATCTCTCCAGAAGCTTCTCGGCCCTCATCACGTGTCCCCCAAGTCCCCTTTGGGGCCACCTCGCGACTCTGTCCCGGTCACGTGCCCTCTCGGGTTCACACAGAGAATCACGTCCCCACTTGCTCCTTCTCCGACCCCCCTCACGAGAACTATGCACCCCCCCCTATGACCCGCTTCCATGTCAAATCAATTCTGGTGGCAGAGAGAGAGACTCGGGACGGGCATTTCCACTCTTGTGACGGCAGTTGCCGCTAACGCCATTGTGACCCCTTTTACGCCACTACACATACAAGGGATGGAGAGCAGTGAGTGATCGGGTAGGTGAGTGAGTATTCAGGTGGGTGAGTGAGTGAGTGGGTGAGTGAGTGAGTGTTCAGGTGGGTGAGTGAGTGGGTGAGTGGGTGAGTGAGTGAGTGAGTGTTCGGGTGGGTGGGTGAGTGAGTGAACAACTATCATCAATTCCACTTCCACAATCATCACAACCACCGCCACCACCACCGCCACCGCCATCACCATGACCATCAACACCTTTCAAAAGACAAAGATCCCCCAATAGCCTTAATAAACTGTAGGGGCAAGTGCTGTTAGCGAGCACCAACGAAGGCCGGCACGGCACACGAGGGGCTGGGTGCCTAACGCCATGCCCGGCCTCCTGTCTCCCCAGTGGCGATGTTTACACATCGCACCAGCTACCTATTTGAGGCTGAGCCGACCGAGGAGAGGCCCAGGACCGGTTCAGATAATCGTCACTGGTGTTATCTATAAGTGGGAATTAAACTCGGGTCGCCGGGTTCGTAGCGCAGCGAACTAACCGCTGACACTACCGCTCCCCACCATCACCACCATCACATCTCTATCCTGACCAACACCACCACCGCCCCCCCCTATCTTAACGACTATCGCCACCTCTACCACACCACCACGACCTACACCATCACCACCACCGCACCTCATCACCACGACCTACACCATCACCACGACCTACACCATCACCACCACCTACACCATCACCACGACCTACACCATCACCACCACCTACACCATCACCACCACCGTACCCCACCACCACGACCTACACCATCACCACCACCGCAACTCATCACCACCTCCTACACCATCACCACCACCTACACAATCACCACGACCTACACCATCACCACCACCTACACCATCACCACGACCTACACCATCACCACCACCTACACCATCACCACGACCTACACCATCACCACGACCTACACCATCACCACCACCACCTACACCATCACCACCGCACCTCACCACCACGACCTACACCATCATCACCACCACCGCACCCCACCCATCACACGCCGCACCTCATCACCACGACCTACACCATCACCACGACCTACACCACCACCGCCTACACCATCACCACCACCACGGCACCTCACCCATCACACTCCGCACCTCATCGTGGCGACGACGTCGCACAGGAACTTGAGGCCCTCGTGCCAGTTGGCGCGGCTGCTGCTGCTGCTGGCGGCGGCCCTGAGGGCGTCGGCCAGGCCAGCGGCGAGCAGGCCCGCCAGCCAGGGCCGCCACCCCTGGTCGGAGTCGAGCGCGTCGCGCGTCCACTCGAGGTAGGAGGCCACCAGGGGCCACCACGGCCCGCCGCCGCCGCCGCCGCCGCCACGGGGCACGGGGGGCGGGGCCGCAACCAACGAGCCGAGCTCCGAGCAGAGGCGAGACGGCACGGAGAGCAGCGCAGGGGCCACCGCGGCGGAGTCACAGCGCAGGTGGCACAGCGAGAAGAGGCCTGGGGAGGGAGGGGAGAGGTGAGGAGGGGAGAGGTGAGGAGGGGAGGGAGGGGAGAGGTGAGGAGGGGAGAGGTGAGGAGGGGAGGGAGGGGAGAGGTGAGGTGAGGTGAGGGGGGGAGGGGTGAGGAGGGGAGAGGTAGGATGGGAGGGGTGAGGAGGGAGAGGTGAGGAGGGGCGAGGAGGGGTGAGGATGGGAGGGGTGAGGATGGGAGGGGTGAGGAGGGGTGAGGTGAGGAGGGGCGAGGAGGGGAGGGGTGAGGATGGGAGGGGTGAGGAGGGGAGGGGTGAGGAGAGGAGGGGTGAGGTGAGGAGGGGCGAGGAGGGGAGGGGTGAGGAGGGTGAGAGGTGGATGAGTGAGTGAGTAGGTGAACAGGTGGGTGGGTGAGAAAATAGGTGAGTGAGAGGGTGAGTGAGTAAATGCGAGAATGAGTGAGTCGGTGAGTGAGTGGGTGGGTGGGTGAGTGGGTGGGTGAGTGGGTGGGTGAGTGGGTGAGTGGGTGAGTGGGTGGGTGAGTGGGTGGGTGAGTGAGCCATGTGAGCGAGTTGGTGGGCGAGTGGGAGTTGGGAGATGAGGAGCCGAGAGGGACGGTGAGTGAGTGGGCGGATAGCGAAAGCGATTGAGTGCAGGGAGAGTCAGTGAGTGATGGCCGTGTTAAAGCGGGCGCCACGGTGGCAAGATGTTAACTACCTCGCCTGCTAAACAGGAGGTCGTGGGTTCAATCCCGACCCTGACGCCTGCTGCTGTATATTTGGAGTTTGCGTGTCTCTCTCTCATCATCACGATGGCTAGGAGATGTTTACTACCTCGCCTGGTCTACAGGAGGTCGTGGGTTCAATCCCGACCCTGACGCCTGCTGTATATTTGGAGTTTGCGTGTCTCTCTCTCTCATCATCAACACGGTGGCTAGGAGATGTTAACTACCTCGCCTGGTCTGCAGGAGGTCGTGGATTCGATCCCGACCCTGACGCCTGCTGCTGTATATTTGGAGTTTGCGTGTCTCTCTCATCAGCATCACGGTGGCTAGGAGATGTTAAACACCTCGCCTGGTATACAGGAGGTCGTGGGTTCGATCCCGACCCTGACGCCTGCTGCTGTATATTTGGAATTTGTGTGTCTCTCTCTCTCATCATCAACACGGTGGCTAGGAGATGTTAACTACCTCGCCTGGTGTACAGGAGGTCGTGGGTTCGATCCCGACCCTGACGCCTGCTGCTGTATATTTGGAGTTTGCGTGTCTCTCTCTCATCATCATCACAGTGACTAGGAGATGTTAACTACCTCGCCTGGTATACAGGAGGTCGTGGGTTCGATCCCGACCCTGACGCCTGCTGCTGTATATTTGGAGTTTGCGTGTCTCTCTCTCTCCCCGTGGTCGCGTGGATTTTTCTCCGGGTCCTCCGGTTTTTCCCCTCCACATTCACAATCGACGTCAAGCGTCGATTCTGTATTTGGCCGCTAGGAATTTCCACACGGTGATAAGGCACTTAAATTTCGATTTAAAGCTTTCGTGACTGCAGGGATTCATCTTCTTGGTTCTTTCGGTAAAGTCATCACGTAGAAGGGAAGTAATAAAATAATAAAAATAAAACATAATAAAATAATTCTCACGACGTTTCGGCCACAACGCAAGCAGCCGTCCTCAAGTGAAGAAACAGGTCTGTCAGGAAGACAGCGTCTGAATGACACACCCCAGGCTTGGAGCATCTATTTAAGCTAGGTTGGAGCGGGAAGGTGCGCCTTGACAAAAGAATTTGCATATCAATAGGAATTTAGCATATTTATTGGAAATGCAGATATGGGATTCGTACTACTTGTGAAGTGCGTAGGAGGTGGGAAGGGGGTTTAAAGTCATTATGCCCGTGCATTATGCGGGATTAGCAGAATCAAAGGGAGGGGGTAGGAGTAGCATTAATGAAGTGAAGGAATGTTAATAGTATGTAGCTGCAGAAACCGACCGTGTAGTTACTCTAGATTTGAATCTTTCGTGACTGCAAGGATTCATATTCTTAGGTTTTTTCGGTAAAGTCACGTAGGTAAAACATTAAAATTAATAAAAGTAAAATAAAATAAAAATCACGACGTTTCGGAGGCAACACAAGCTTCCGTCTTCAGGTGGAACCGTCACAGCCACGACTGCTGTATCACGCCGGGTCGGGGACCAAGTCAAGGACTTTATGAGTAACTACACATATTCGACTGCTGTATCAAGTAAATGATACAGCTGTCGTGGCTGTGACGGTTCCACCTGAAGACGTAAGCTTGTGTTGCCTCCGAAACGTCGTGATTTTTATCTTTATTTTATTTTACTTTTATTAATTTTAATGTTTTACCTACGTGACTTTACCGAAAAAACCTAGGAATATGTGTAGTTACTCATCAAGTCCTTGACTTGGTCCCCGACACGGTGTGTCGGACACGGCAAATCGCGCGCCCACTCACCTCTCCACACGGCGAGACGCACGGCCATCGAGTCCGCATTCACAAGGTCGAGCAGCTCCAACATCCGTGACGTCACTTCCTGCAACTGAGGATAAAACCGTGACCAAACAAAAATTAAAGGAATCCACCCATCGGATGGAGAGTCATTTGAACGCGCTGTTACACGCAAGCTCACGGGATGTTATTTGACATGAAACGAGGGGTGTGTGGGGTGAGACAAAAACTGCGTTCAAACCATCACACACCTGCCAAACCACAAAGTCTGCGGGTCGCAGAGACGCTCACCCACACAGGGAATGAAGCCTGCTCGCCCGCTCACCCACTCACCCGCTCACCCACTCACCCGCTCACCCGCTCACCCACACAGTGACCGAACCCCGCTCACCCACTCAGTCGCTCACCCGCTCACCCACACAGTGACCGCTCACCCGCTCACCCGCTCACCCGCTCACCCGCTCACCCGCTCACCTGCTCACCCGCTCACCCACTCACCAAGTCACTTACTCGGACACCACAGGTCACATCACTTCTCTTTCTGCTCCACTTTGGAAATCCTTCCTTTCCCCCGCACATCGTCTGTTTTCCCAAGCACTTATTGCCTTCTTTGATGAGTAAATTAAATAAATTTAAACTCGTCAACTCGTATGATACAACTGTGATAGTGCCGTCTGTTGCTGGACGCTTAAAGTTTTTTGAGCTGTGCAAAGTAAAAAAGAAAGGAAAATATTACACTATGAGACCTCTCCTTTACCAGTGGCAAAATATAGTAATAGGTTTTTACCCTTTCAACTGGTACAAAAACTGACACCTTTATACAAGGCATCATGTTTGCAATAACCACAACACAAGCAGTTAAAATGCAAACAAAAAGAAACAACTCTGATGATGATAATGATATGCACTGTCCTTGAAGTTGATTGGTCCACACCCGAGACAGCTTTTCTTAGAGCCTAGTCTCCATTGGTGTTGGACCAGATGACGCCAAAAGGCACACAACTCAAACATGATGCCTTGTATAAAGGTGTCAGTCTTTGTACCAGTTGAAAGGGTAAAAAACTATTACTAAAATATTACAATTAGAAAAAAAATTCTGTAAAAAATAAATTATTATAAAAAATATATGTATATATCTTCTTGGTTCTTTCGGTAAAGTCACGTAGAAGGGAAGTAATAAAATAATAAACATAAAACATAATAATATGTTTTTTATTATTATAAAAATAAAACATAATAATATGTTTTTTATTATTTTATTACTTCCCTTCTACGTGACTTTACCGAAAGAACCAATAAGATCAATCCCTGCAGTCACGAAAGCTTTAAATCGAAAAATATATACAATTAAAAAATTAACCCGTAAAAACAAAGTTTTTCACTATAAATCCTTTATATGCGTGGCGGCTAGAGTCCTCTCGTCCTCTGGCTTGAGATGGCTGCCACCTATGGGTCAGATGATTGCCTGCCACCATTAAGCAATTGGTAATTAAATATAATTTATTTTTTCCTAAAAAGTGTAAAATTTTGCAAAATTTTTTTCACGAAAATTAATTGTCACGCACAACGAGTCTGTGCGGAAAATGTCAGCTCGATTGGATCACGGGAAGTGGGTTAAAAAACGACCGAAAGATTTGCACGGTCGTAAGCGCGCAAGCAAGCAAGCAAGTGAACTAAATATAAAAGATTTTAAAAAACGACCGAAAGATTTGCACGGTCGTAAGCGCGCAAGCAAGCAAGCAAGTGAACTAAATATAAAAGATTTTAAAAAACGACCGAAAGATTTGCACGGTCGTAAGCGCGCAAGCAAGCAAGCAAGCGAACTTAATATAAAGGATTTAAAAATGAAAACGCGCAAGCATCGCCCCCTTCCCATCGCTGCGTAAAAACCCGAGCTCACGTCCGACTCTGCCGCCCCTTCCTCCGCCGCCTGCGACGTCTCTCTCCGCTCCGCTACGGCCACCGCGATGGACAGGAAGAGGCGCACAAAGTTGTGGATGCCGGCCTCGCCGAGGTCCTGCATGCGCCGCTTGTGGAATTTGGAGTAAATTCTGTGTCGGGAGGGAGGTGAGGTGAGGGAGGTGAGGGAGGTGATGGAAGGAGGTGAGGTGAGGGAGGTGATGGAGGGAGGTGAGGTGAGGGAGGTGAGGTGAGGGAGGTGAGGAAGGTGAGGATGGTAGGTGAGGGAGGGAGGGTGGTAGGGGAGGGAGGTGAGGGAGGGAGGTAGGTGAGGGTGGTGAGGTGAGGGAGGTGATGGAGGGAGGGAGGGAGGGAGGTGAGGGAGGGAGAGAGGTAGGTGAGGGTGGTGAGGTGAGGGAGGTGATGGAGGGAGGTGAGGAAGGTGAGGGAGGGAGGGTGGTAGGTGAGGGAGGGAGGGAGGTGATGGAGGGTGGTAGGTGAGGGAGGTGAGGGAGGGAGGGAGGGAGGGAGGGAGGTGAGGGAGGGAGAGAGGTAGGTGAGGGTGGTGAGGTGAGGGAGGTGATGGAGGGAGGTGAGGAAGGTGAGGGAGGGAGGGTGGTAGGTGAGGGAGGTGAGGGAGGGAGGTGAGGAAGGTGAGGGAGGGAGGGTGGTAGGTGAGGGAGGTGAGGGAGGGAGGTGAGGAAGGTGAGGGAGGGAGGGTGGTAGGTGAGGGAGGTGAGGTGAGGGAGGTGATGGAGGGAGGTGAGGAAGGTGAGGGAGGGAGGGTGGTAGGTGAGGGAGGTGAGGGAGGGAGGTGAGGAAGGTGAGGGAGGGAGGGTGGTAGGTGAGGGAGGTGAGGGAGGGAGGTGAGGAAGGTGAGGGAGGGAGGGTGGTAGGTGAGGGAGGTGAGGGAGGGAGGTGAGGAAGGTGAGGGAGGGAGGGTGGTAGGTGAGGGAGGGAGGGAGGTGATGGAGGGTGGTAGGTGAGGGAGGTGAGGGAGGGAGGGAGGGAGGTGAGGGAGGGAGAGAGGTAGGTGAGGGTGGTGAGGTGAGGGAGGTGATGGAGGGAGGTGAGGAAGGTGAGGGAGGGAGGGTGGTAGGTGAGGGAGGGAGGGAGGTGATGGAGGGTGGTAGGTGAGGGAGGTGAGGGAGGGAGGGAGGGAGGGAGGTGAGGGAGGGAGAGAGGTAGGTGAGGGTGGTGAGGTGAGGGAGGTGATGGAGAGAGGTGAGGAAGGTGAGGGAGGGAGGGTGGTAGGTGAGGGAGGGAGGGAGGTGATGGAGGGTGGTAGGTGAGGGAGGTGAGGGAGGGAGGGAGGGAGGTGAGGGAGGGAGAGAGGTAGGTGAGGGTGGTGAGGTGAGGGAGGTGATGGAGGGAGGTGAGGAAGGTGAGGGAGGGAGGGTGGTAGGTGAGGGAGGGAGGGAGGTGATGGAGGGTGGTAGGTGAGGGAGGGAGGGAGGGAGGTGAGGGAGGGAGAGAGGTAGGTGAGGGTGGTGAGGTGAGGGAGGTGATGGAGGGAGGTGAGGAAGGTGAGGGAGGGAGGGTGGTAGGTGAGGGAGGGAGGTAGGTGAGGGAGGTGAGGGAGGGAGGGTGGTAGGTGAGGGAGGTGAGGGAGGGAGGTGAGGAAGGTGAGGGAGGGTGGTAGGTGAGAGGGGGAGAGAGGTAGGTGAGGGTGGTGAGGTGAGGGAGGTGATGGAGGGAGGTGAGGAAGGTGAGGGAGGGAGGGTGGTAGGTGAGGGAGGTGAGGAGGAGGTGAGGAAGGTGAGGGAGGGAGGGTGGTAGGTGAGGGAGGTGAGGGAGGGAGGTGAGGAAGGTGAGGGAGGGAGGGTGGTAGGTGAGGGAGGTGAGGTGAGGGAGGTGATGGAGGGAGGTGAGGAAGGTGAGGGAGGGAGGGTGGTAGGTGAGGGAGGTGAGGGAGGGAGGTGAGGAAGGTGAGGGAGGGAGGGTGGTAGGTGAGGGAGGTGAGGGAGGGAGGTGAGGAAGGTGAGGGAGGGAGGGTGGTAGGTGAGGGAGGTGAGGGAGGGAGGTGAGGAAGGTGAGGGAGGGAGGGTGGTAGGTGAGGGAGGGAGGGAGGTGATGGAGGGTGGTAGGTGAGGGAGGTGAGGGAGGGAGGGAGGGAGGTGAGGGAGGGAGAGAGGTAGGTGAGGGTGGTGAGGTGAGGGAGGTGATGGAGGGAGGTGAGGAAGGTGAGGGAGGGAGGGTGGTAGGTGAGGGAGGGAGGAAGGTGATGGAGGGTGGTAGGTGAGGGAGGTGAGGGAGGGAGGGAGGGAGGGAGGTGAGGGAGGGAGAGAGGTAGGTGAGGGTGGTGAGGTGAGGGAGGTGATGGAGAGAGGTGAGGAAGGTGAGGGAGGGAGGGTGGTAGGTGAGGGAGGGAGGGAGGTGATGGAGGGTGGTAGGTGAGGGAGGTGAGGGAGGGAGGGAGGGAGGTGAGGGAGGGAGAGAGGTAGGTGAGGGTGGTGAGGTGAGGGAGGTGATGGAGGGAGGTGAGGAAGGTGAGGGAGGGAGGGTGGTAGGTGAGGGAGGGAGGGAGGTGATGGAGGGTGGTAGGTGAGGGAGGGAGGGAGGGAGGTGAGGGAGGGAGAGAGGTAGGTGAGGGTGGTGAGGTGAGGGAGGTGATGGAGGGAGGTGAGGAAGGTGAGGGAGGGAGGGTGGTAGGTGAGGGAGGGAGGTAGGTGAGGGAGGTGAGGGAGGGAGGGTGGTAGGTGAGGGAGGTGAGGGAGGGAGGTGAGGAAGGTGAGGGAGGGTGGTAGGTGAGAGGGGGAGGGTGGTAGGTGAAGGAGGGAGGGAGTAAGGGAGAGTGGTAGGTAATGTGAGGGAGGGAGGGTGGTAGGGGAGGGAGGTAGGTGAGGGTGGTAGGTGAGGGAGGGAGTGAGGGAGGGAGGTGAGGGTGGCAGGTGATGTGAGGGTGGTAGGGTGGTAGGGGAGAGAGGGTGGTAGGTGAGGTAGGGAGGGAAAGGGGGGAGAAAGGGAGTAGAGGGAGGGAGTGGGCACATAAGCAAACAAAAAAAACGACATGATGAACGAAGCAAAGTGCCGAAAGACCGAGCATCTTTCTCGTCTGATCGTTAAAAAAAGGAGGGAGGCGACAGTGAGTTGAATTGAGAGGTCACTGTGTGGCTCACTCACTCACCCACACACCCACAGACATCTACTCACTCATAATACATATTTTTTTGGGTTCGATCGCGTAAATATAAATGTGTCGTTAAAACCTCCACCACCCGACACAGCCAATTAGTGAGGTTTGTCACGTACACAGAACGTGTCGAATTAGTTACTAGTTCGACACAAAAGTGTGTCTTGGCTGTGTCGGGTGGTGGCGGGTTGAACGACACATTTATATTGACGTGTTAAATCCACTCACCCATTCACCCTCTCATTAACCCACTCACCAATACATTCACTCATTCAGGCTCCCAGCCAGGCATCCACTCACCGGCTCACGCAAAGTTTCACTCGCTTACCCAACCACTAACTAATCCACCCACCCATACATCCACTCACTCAGTCAACCAATCAGTCTCCTAGCCAGACACCAAATCCCTCATTCGCTTTATCACTTATCACTCTACTACAGAGACAGTCACTCGCTCATTCACTTCATCACTCATTCATTCATTCACCCATCCACTCACTCATTCAATCTCCCACCCAAACATACACTCGAATACCCGCTCACTCATTCACATACCCACAACCGAGTTGGAACTAATAGGACCATGGGTGAAACTCATTTCCACTCACGCCAACTTGCAAACCTTTGTGGATTAATTGCCTATAAAACTGGTCAACACACTTTTTCTGGCATAAGGTATTCCAACGACTTTAAGGTAATTTTGGGGTGCTGATTCCAAATCTGGCATCAGTTTTTGTCTATTACATCAGGTTTTTGAGATATTAAATATTGCATTTTCAATAAAAACTGCAGAAGAAAAATCTTAAATAAATGTGGATATCTACATAAAATGATATTATAAACACACTATCCTAAAAATACAGCACCATATTTTAACACTAAAGCAGTCACTGACTCGCAAACAACTTGCAATCATAAGTGACAGAGTTAATTTCGGGAAAAATCAATGAAAATGAGGTATGCCGATAGCATAAAAATGAGATGTGATAGAGCAAATCTGAGGTCAGATTTGGAATCAGCACCCTGAAATTAGTCTAGAACAGCTGCAAAAGTCCAGGCCAGAATGTTTTGTTGTTGTTGACCAGTAAAGTCACGAAGAGAAGGGAAATAATAAAATAATAAAAATAAAACATAATAAAATACAATTCTCACGACGTTTCGGCCACAACGCAAGCAGCCGTCCTCAGGTGTTGATATGCAAATTCCTTTGTCAAGGCGCTCTCCTCCTCTAACCCAGCTTAAATATACGCTGCCAAGCTTGGTGGTGTTCATTCAGACGCTGTCTTTCCGACAGACCTGTTCTTCACCTGAGGACGGCTGCTTGCGTTGTGGCCGAAACGTCGTGAATTATTTTATGTTTTATTTTTATTATTTTATTATTTCCCTTCTACGTGACTTTACCGAAAGAACCAAGAAGATGTTTTTGTTGTTGTTGTTGACCAGTGAAATGCGCTTATGCTCCCTCTTACCTGCCCTTGATCTGGGCCCACGATCGCACACCGGGTCTCCCGCATCGACCAATCAGGTACCCAGAAAGAATGGCCACGAACAGTTGAAAGCTGCTCCGCGATTGGATAGAATTGGCACGGTGGGCAGGGCTTAGCGGGCAGCACGCCCGGACGTCGGCCAATAGGAGCGCAGGAGAGGTGGCGGCGTTGACCAATCCCTGCAGGCCGAGCCTTGGCACGTTGAAGAGATCGTTCTGTGCGAGAGACCATCAGCCACGATCGATCCACTGCTGGATGAAGACTTGAGCCGAAAAACTCAAGAGATTAACGGCTTATAGCATTACTCACAGAGGTACAGATTAAGGACTCAAAAACCTACGATGTCAGAACATGGGGATGGCTCACCGTCTGACACAGCCCTTTTAAAAGCCCCTAAAGTAAAATAAGTATAACCCGTAAAAACAAAGTTTTTCACTATAAATCCTTTATATTGCGTGGCGGCTAGAGTCCTCTCGTCCTCTGGCTTGAGATGGCTGCCACCTATGGGTCAGATGATTGCATTGCACCATTAAGCAATTGGTAATTAAATATAATATTTTTGTCCTAAAAAGTGTAAAATTTTGGAGAAAAAAATTTCGCGAACATTAATTGTCACGCACAACGAGTCTGTGTGCAAAATGTCAACTCGATTGGATCACGGGAAGTGGGTTAAAAAACGACCGAAAGATTTGCACGGTCCTAAGCAAGCAAGCAAACTTAATATAAAGGATTTAAAAAAAGAAGACATAATCCCAAGAACTCGAGATTACCGGCTTATAGCCCTGACAGTCTTTATGACCCTCCAAAGAGAGAAAGACAGAGATAAGGAGAGAGACACGGACCCATGACTCAAACCAGGTACTCAACACATTCCTCCTGCGGAGGGAGCTGGTAGGAACGTCGGGTTGCTCGGTCAATGGCCTGCAGGGTCAACGGCGGCGTGGTGTATTCCGCAAAAATGCCCGACTGTGAGGGCGGGCACAAGCCGGCGTGAGTAGGTTAAACGTTGAGTTTTATAAGGGCACCGCGGGGTGAGCAGCCCCTCCCCACCCAGCCCCACCCTCCCACCCCCCACCCAGCCCTACCCTCCCCACCCAGCCCCTCCCCACCCAGCCCCTCCCCACCCAGCCCCTCCCCACCCAGCCCCTCCCCACCCAGCCCCTCCCCACCCCTCCCCACCCAGCCCCTCCCCACCCAGCCCCTCCCTGCACGACGAACGGACGGACACAATAATCCCCTGTGGGCTGGTGTAACCAGGAGGTTCCTACCAGTAACAGCTCCTGGTTTATAGCCCTGACACGGCATTCACTGCCGCAACATCAAACTTGATGTGGAGCTTTCGCGACTGCAGGAACTACTCTTTGGTTGTTTTGGTAAAGTCACGTAGAAAGAGAAAATAATGAATCGAACAATTATTTAAATGTATTACTTCATAAAAGAAAGAAAAAAAATCAAATAATTATTAAATTTAGCATTTTATAATAAATTAAATAATTGTTTACTGTTTTTTTTCCCTTTATACGTGACTTTAAATAATTATTTAAATTTATTATTCTAGAATAGAAAGAGAAAAAATTACATTTAGAATTTTATAACAAATTAAATATTTTTTTACTTTCTACGCGACTTTAAAATAATTATTTAACTCATTATTTTCTCTTCCTACGTGACTTTACTGAAAGACCCAAAGAGTGTTGCAACATCCTCCAATAGCCAGAATCGAAATATGCATCTGTCCTGGAGAGATCCGATGGAGGTACAACGCTCTCTTTCACAGATGTCCAGCAGGGGCAGTAGAGAAACACACCAAGGCAGAGGTCGCAACCGGGTACCCGATACCCGTACCCTACCCGATACCCGGCTACCCGTTTACGACCCTGGTGCGGCCGGGTACGGGTAGGCCGTGAGTCACTGGTGAGTCACCGTTTGTCACTCATTTCCCAACGTCTTGTCTCTTCTCACAATTCAAGTTCCTAGTATCAACCCACCCGCGCCTGCAACATGGCTTCATCCCAGAGGTCGCAATCAGGTACCCAATACCCGTACCCTACCCGTACCCGGCCGGCTGGGTACGGGTAGGGTACGGGTACGGCCGGGTACGGGTACCCGTTTGCGACCCTGGTGCGGCCGGGTACGGGAAAGAAATCAAAACCCGTTTGCGACCTCTGCACCGAGGTTGTGCAGGAGTCGAACACAGGCTATGTGGAGTTACCAGCTCTCTCCATGGTCATGATACAGGTAGGAACAACACGTTCCACACTGCACACCAGGGATTATTTGTCTGTCTGGCTGTCGTGCATAGCCACGCCCTCGAGTTGTATTTCATAGAGCGCTTCGGGCGGGCTCAGCACCACGTGACGCGCCGCCCCACGCGGTTTGCGCCGCGTGACACGGATCGCAGGAATGCGCCGTCCAACCAAGTTCCTACCTGCCCACTCCGAAGGAACGCGTTGAACCCAGAGGTCGCAACCGGGTACCCGATACCCGTACCCTACCCGATACCCAGCTACCCGTTGGTAGTGTTGGTTTCTCACCGCCTGGCTGCTGCTGCCTTCCCATGTGTCTGGGGTCCCTCGGAGAATACGACGCTGTAAAGATACAGCTTCTACCCCTGCTGCTGCTGCTGCTGCTGTTGCTGATGGTACGGGAAGCCGTTTGCGACCCTGGTGCGGCCGGGTAGGGGTACGGGTAGGCCGTGAGTCACTGGTGAGTAACCGTTTGTCACTCATTTCGGGTAGGGTACGGGTAGGGAACGGGTACCCGTACCCAGCCGGGTACGGGTACCCGTTTGCGACCCTGGTGCGGCCGGGTACGGGTAAGGAATCAAAACCCGTTTGCGACCTCTGGTTGAACCCCTTAAGAGGCATATTTCGACGACCTGGGACTCAAACAACAGCCCCCCCCCTCCCCGCACGTCCGCAAGAGGCGACCGGCTGCGCTTGCTTACCAGCCGCTTGCTGTAGAACTCCCACAGGAAGGCGACTGCAGCCACGCTCGGCTCCCACAGGTCGCACAGGGAGAGCGTGTGGGTCAGGGTGGCGCGGAGACGCTCCTCTCTCTGGCAGTGCTAGCGAGAGTCGACGGCACACCACCAACAAACATCACCACCACCAGCACCAACCACCACCACTATCATCACTACCGTCATCACCACCATCACCATCATCATCACCACCAACCAACACCACCGTCACCGTCACCGTCGTCACCATCACCATCATCGCCACCACCATCACCATCACCACCACCATCACCACCACCATCACCACCATCACCACCATCACCAACATTTGTTGGTAGTGTTGGTTTCTCACCGCCTGGCTGCTGCTGCCTTCCCACGTATCTGGGGTCCCTCGGAGAATACGACGCTGTAAAGATACAGCTTCTACTCTTGCTGCTGATGATGCTGATGCTGCTGATGGTGATGCTGATGATGCTGCTGATGATGCTGCTGCTGATGCTGCTGCTGATGGCGATGAGGTGTACATGACGAAGATAAAAATAACTACATTAAATCACGACGTTTCGGAGGCAACACAAGCTTCCGTCATCAGGTGGGACAACTACAGCAAAAAACTGAATTACTGTCCCACTACAATAATTCTGTATTTTTTTTTTGCTGTGGTTGTCCCACCTGATGATGGAAGCTTGTGTTGCCTCCGAAACGTCGTGATTTAATGTAGTTATTTTTATTTTCTACCTAGGTGACTTTACCGAAAGAACCAAAGAGTATGGATCCTTGCTGTCACGAAAACTTTAAATCTAGAATGACGAAGATGTTGATACTCCTGGTGAATGATGATGATGGCGGTAATGATGCAGCTGATATTGATGCAGCCGATGATACTAACGATGAAAATATGCCAGTGATTATAATTATGAAAATGCTGCTGCTGATAGTGATGCCACTAGTTAAGAGCAGAGGATACCGATGATGATGATGATGATGCACTCATACCTGTGAATCGAAACACTTCCTCAGGAATTCCTCCATCAACGGCCAATTACTCTGAAACTGGATTCACAACACGGATAAGCACACGAGTGAGTGAGTGGGTGGATGAGTGAGTGAATGAGTGAGTAGGTGGTTGAGTGAGTGAATAGGCGAGTGAGTGAATGGGTGGGTGGGTGGATGAGTGAGAAAATGAGTGAGTAGGTGGTTGAGTGAGTGGATAGGCGAGTGAGTGGGTGGATGAGTGAGAAAATTAGTGAGTAGGTGGTGTGAGTGGGTAGTCAGGTGGGCTGGCGAATGAACGAAAGTGTGGGTGAATGAGTGAGTGAATGAGTGAGTAGGTGGTTGAGTGAGTGAATAGGCGAGTGAGTGAGTGGGTAGTCAGGTGGGCTGGCGAATGAACGAAAGTGTGGGTGAATGAGTGAGTGAATGAGTGAGTAGGTGGTTGAGTGAGTGAATAGGCGAGTGAGTGAATGGGTAGTCAGGTGGGCTGGTGAATGAACGAAAGTGTGGGTGAATGAGTGAGTGAATGAGTGAGTAGGTGGTTGAGTGAGTGAATAGGCGAGTGAGTGAATGGGTAGTCAGGTGGGCTGGTGAATGAACGAAAGTGTGGGTGAATGAGTGAGTGAATGAGTGAGTAGGTGGTTGAGTGAGTGAATAGGCGAGTGAGTGAGTGGGTAGTCAGGTGGGCTGGTGAATGAACGAAAGTGTGGGTGAATGAGTGAGTGAATGAGTGAGTGAATGAGTCATCTCAGTCATCTCGGTCATCTCGGTCAGTCGACCCGTGGAACCTGGGTCTGCCCCGTGACCTCCTGCCAGCGGGCGTTCGACACTTCACGTGGCCTTAAGGTGCACTTGGCCTGGCACAAGCGCCGTGGTGACGTCACCGCCACTAAGTGGCGAATGGCGGTTGTTGTTGTTGTTGTTGTTAAATGGGTAAGTTGTGGGGAGCGTTAGTGCAGCAGTTTGCACGCTACTAACCCGGCGACCTGAGTTCGATTCCCACTCACGGCCAACACTAGTGACGATCATCTGAACCGGTCCTGGGCCTCCCCTAGGTCAACTCAGCCTCACAATGAGTACTTAGTGCAGTGTGTAAACGTTGCCATTAAGGAGCTAAAGGCGGCGGGGTCGTGGTGTTGGCCACCCACCCCCTCGTGTGCCGTGCCAGCCTTCATAGGTGCTACTCGCTAACAGTCTGTTAAAGGCTCTATGAGGGATCTTTGTCTGTCTTTGAATGGGTGAGTAGGTGAGTGAGTGAGTGTGTGTGCATATGAATATGTGAAGATCTAACCCTCACGTCGAATCGCTTAACCCAACCTGGACACAGCCAAAAATCCATAGCACCGAAACGTGACCCGAAAACCAACCCCTAATCCTATCCCTAACCACGACCTCCACCGCAACCACCAAACCCGCCACCAGAACTGATGTAAACGCTAACCCTTAACACCAGCCCGAGCAGTTCCATTACCCCGACTCTAACCTCGACCCCAACCCATAACTCCTTGCCTACCCACCCCCGCCCCACCTTCCTCTCCCTCACCATCTCCTCCTCCTCCGCCACTGGTCTCCGTTTCCCCCCCCCCTTCACCCCTTGCCCCCTCTCCCTCCCCTCACCGTCTCCTCCTCCCCTCCCCGCGTCGTCTTCGCCACCCCAAGTGACGCCACGTGAGCCAGCAGCCAAACACCCACGGCGAGGGGATCCCTCGCTCCCCTCAATCCCTCCACCATTCCTCCCCTTCCTCCACCACCACCATCGCCACCACCACCGCCACCACCGCCTCCTCCTCCTCCATGTGTCGCGTGTCCGAGTGCGAGAGAGAACTCGGCCCAGAATGGCTGCGGGGTGCAACAACGCGTCGATTTGATCAGAGAACATCGCTAACAACTCATTGAATTATTACGAATAATTTGTTTTAACTTCACCAGGTTAAGGCCCACTGAGCAGCGTAGCTCTTTTGCATTACATCGGCTCCAATGCTCGCGATGCACTTGTCTCTGATGGGGTCTCCAAACAATGGCAGAGAGACAGACAGACTGGTCTCTGATGGGGTTTCTAAGACAATGACAGACAGACCAGTCTCTGATGGGGTTTCTAAGACAATGACAGACTAATCTATGATGAGTTTCAAGACAATGGCAGACGGACAGGCCGGTGTCTGATGGAGTCTCTACACAGTGACAGACAGAACAATCTCTGATGGAGTTTCTAAAGACTGACAGACAGACTAATCTCTGATGGAGTCTCTACACAGTGACAGACAGACAGACCAGTCTCTGATAGGGTTTCTAAGACAACGACAGACACACAGACAGACTTGTCTCTGATGGAGTCTCTAGACAGCGACAGACAAGGGGGAGGGGGGGTTAAAGGTGCAGCCTCGCAACCACGCGCTCACGCGACCGCCAGCGGTAGGACCCACGCATGCAGGGAGCTCTGCGGTGAGCCGTTCCCTCACCTGGGTGAGAAAAGTTTTGTGTCGATGGTCGAGGAACATGAGCACCATTGTCCACATCTCTCGCACGCAGCCACACGGAAACGGGTCCTGGGTGACCTCTTCGAATGGAGTTAGCTGTGGAACAAGTATAACCCGTAAAAACAAAGTTTTTCACTATAAATCCTTTATATGCGTGGCGGCTAGAGTCCTCTCGTCCTCTGGCTTGAGATGGCTGCCACCTATGGGTCAGATGATTGTCTGCCACCATTAAGCAATTGGTAATTAAATATAATATTTTTGTCATAAAAAGTGTAAAATTTAGGAAAAAAATTTCACGAACATTAATTGCCACGCACAACGAGTCTGTGTGCAAAATGTCAGCTCGATTGGATCACGGGAAGTGGGTTAAAAAACGACCGAAAGATTTGCACGGTCCTAAGCAAGCAAGCAAGCAAGCGAACTTAATATAAAGGATTTAAAAAACAACAGGAGATGAGAATACATACACACGGACCGGTTTCTCTGATGGGAGTCTCCAGACAATGCAAAAAAATAATACTTAAGGACATAAGCGAGAGAGAGATACGTACCTTGTTGTGTTTATTAACGGCAACTTGAACGAGGTCGGTCATTAACGAGCGAACCAGGTCGTCAATAAACGAGCTCGGTGTTTCACAGTCAAATCTATATGGCTGGAAACCTATTGTGAAACACACACACACACACAAACACGCACACGCACGCACACACACACATATATAATTGGACCAACAAACACAAAGATCCCCATATTCTTAGGTTTTTTCGGTAAAGTCACGTAGGTAAAACATTAAAATTAATAAAAGTAAAATATAACAAAAAATAAAATCACGACGTTTCGGAGGCAACACAAGCTTCCGTCTTCAGGTGGAACCGTCACAGCCACGACTTTACCGAAAAAACCTAAGAATATGAATCCTTGCAGTCACGAAAGCTTCAAATCTACAAAGATCCCCCCCCACATATCCATACACAGTCGGGTCAAGTGCTGTTAACCGAGCGCGCGTTAATTAAGGCCGGCAAGGCGCACGAGTGGATCTGTGTGGCTAGCACCACGCCAGGCTGCCTTTGTCTCTCCCCAGCGCTGATCATGTACGCACTCTGCCAAGCAGCCATGGAACGCGGAGTCCACCTAGGGGAGGCCCAGGACCCCGTTCGGATGATCGTCACCGATGTTGGCCGTGAGCGGGAATCGAACTCGGGTGGGCAGGTTTGTAACGCAGCGTAGCGCTAAACCCGGGACCACTGCTCCCCCGCAAAAAACAAAGATCCCCGTGTAGCCTCGTGGAGCAAGTGCTGTTAGCGAGCACCTATCAAGGCTGCCCATGGCACACGAGGGGGTGGGGTGGCCAATAACAGTAGTGATATGTACACACCACACTCGGTACTCATTTGAGGCCGAGTCGACCTAGGAGAGGCTCAGAACCGGTTGAGATAATCGTCACCGGCGTTGGCTGTGAGCGGGAATCGAACTCTGGTCGCCAGGTTCGTAGCCCAGTGCACTAACCACGACACTACCGCTCCCCACGTACTGTTGAAGGACTGTGACACGGCCATTAAGAACCCCTATCAGAGACGCCCAGACTAAAGACTCGAACCCAGATCCTGACCCTTAGCATTACCGGCTCAGTGTCTCTGACACGGCCATCATGAACCCCGTGAGAGCGACGCGCAGACTCAAGACTCGAGCCTATGATTTCAGCGGTGCTGAGATGTTAACTACCTTGCCTGGTATACAGGAGGTCGTGGGTTCGATCCCGACCCTGACACCTGCTGCTGTATATTTGGAGTTTGCGTGTCTCTCTCTCTCTCATCATCCTCACGGTGGCTAGGAGATGTTAACTACCTCGACTGGTGTGCAGGAGGTCGTGGGTTCGATTCCGACCCTGACGCCTGCTGCTGTATATTTGGAGTTTGCGTGTCTCTCTCTCATCATCATCACGGTGGCTAGGAGATGTTAACTACCTCGCCTGGTATGCAGGAGGTCGTGGGTTCGATTCCGACCCTGACGCCTGCTGCTGTATATTTGGAGTTTGCGTGTCTCTCTCTCTCATCACCATCACGGTGGCTAGGAGATGTTAACTACCTCGCCTGGTATGGAGGAGGTCGTGGGCTCGATCCCAACCTGACGCCTGCTGCTGTATATTTGGAGTTTGCATGTCTCTCTCTCTCTCATCATCATCACGGTGGCTAGATGTTGACTACTTCGCTTGGTGTGCAGGAGATCGTGGGTTCGATTCCGACCCTGACGCCTGCTGCTGTATATTTGGAGTTTGCATCTCTCTCTCATCATCACGGTGGCTAGGAGATGTTAACTACCTCGCCTGGTGTACAGGAGGTCGTGGGTTCTACCCCGACCCTGATGCCTGCTGCTGTATATTTGGAGTTTGCGTGTCTCTCTCCCTGCGCTCACGTGGATTTGTCTCTGGGTCCTCCGGTTTTTCCCTCCACATTTATGATCAACGTGCGCTTAAAAGCGTGCCATCAATTGTGGCCAGGTCGCTTCTGGAAAAAAAAGTCTATAGAGCTCAGTGGGCCTCGCCTGGTAACATAAAATAAAATTGTTTAAATACTTTAGTTATACATCTCCCCGACGACGAGGCCGTTGCGAATTATTTGCGTTTCAAGAAATGTAAACTCGTTCGATTGAAGCGCTGATTTTTATTTATTTCGCGAGCACTGTCGAGGGACAATGCGTGAGTGCGAACGAAATGAATTTCAAAGTATCCCGTCAGTTTGAACGTACAGTTAGAAAACTCCTCCCTTTAAAACTTCAGATTTTCTTGAGGGAGCCGTAGTGTTTATGGGTCCCAGATCGCCGCAATTACCGGCGAGCTTAATTAAATGCCCTTTTAACTCTCTTCTCCGAGACACGTGTGTGTGTGTCTGAGAGCGAGTGGGGGTGGGGGGGGTGGACTGTTGAGTGGACGGTTACAGTTGTGAGGTTTAAAGTACCAGTTTGTATTTGAGGTGCAAAGTGGAAGAGGTGATTGGGGATAGTTAAGGGTGGGAATTGTGAATACAGAGCAAATGCTAATGGTTCATAATAGCTCTGTCAAAGGCACTCAGAGCCAGCAGTGCTAAGGACATGAGTTTGAGACTGGGTCAAGGTTTGTATCTCACATGGGGTTCATAATAATGGGCATGTTGAAAACACTGCATCAGCGCTGCTTATAATCCTAGGTTTGAGCCAAGAGTCTCGGTCTATATGTGTACATCTCTCTCTCTCGCTCTCATTCAGAGTGTTCATAAGACATTCACATCCTCACGGCACGGTTGACTACGTGCGGTGCGAAATCAGTTATACAGCGAGGGAAAAAAAGTATTTGATCCCCTGCTGATTTTGTACGTTTGCCCACTGACAAAGAAATTATCAGTCTATAATTTTAATGGTAGGTTTATTTGAACAGTGAGAGACAGAACAACAACAACAAAATCCATAAAAACGCATGTCAAAAATGTTATAAATTGATTTGCATTTTAATGAGGGAAATAAGTATTTGACCCCCTCTCAATCAGAAAGATTTCTGGCTCCCTGTACATACATACAACCGCGTACACACTCACAGACACACACACACACATGTTCGGTCACACATACGCTCTTACAAAAGACAAAGATCCCCCATATAGCTTGAAGAGACGGTTGGGGCAAGTGCTGTTAGTGCGCACCTATGAAGGCAGGCACGGGACTGCTTCAGTGGCGATGTTTACACACCGCTTGAGGCTGAGTCGACCTAGGGGAGGCCCAGGATCGGTTAAGATATTCACCACTGTTCAGATAATCGTCACTGGTGTTGACTGTGAGCGGGAATCGAACTCGGGTCGCCGGGTTCGTAGCGCAGCCGCGCTAACCGCTACATCAGCACTCACCACAGACACTCTTATAAACACACACACACACTCGATCTCGCACACGCACAGTCAATTCACCTGTTGTTTTCTCCTGAAGTCGATATAAAATGTCCAGGCAGGCCCATCTCATGTCCAAGTTGAGGTGGAATAAATGCCAGGACGGAGGATACACCTGCAGGGAAGATCACAGGAGGTGAATGACAAATGAAAATACAGACACCCCAACACAGCCAATACACCACCACTTCCCGCAAAAAACACAAAGACAAAGATCCCCTATATATCTTCTTGGTTCTTTCGGTAAAGTCACGTAGAAGGGAAGTAATACAATAATAAAAATAAAACATAAGAAAATAATTCTCACGACGTTTCGGCCACAACACAAGCAGCCGTCCTCAGGTGGACAGACCTGAAGTAATAAAATAATAAAAATAAAACATAACAAAATAATTATGTTTTATTTTTTATTATTAAAATTAAAATTAAAAAAATTAAACATAATACATTTTCTTGGTTCTTTCGGGAAAGTCACGTAGAATGGAAATAATAAAATAATAAAAATAAAACATAATAAAATGTATTATGTTTTATTTTTGTTATTAATAATAAAATAATAAAAATAAAACATAAAATGTATTGTTTTATTTTTGTTATTAATAATAAAATAATAAAAATAAAACATAAAATGTATTACGTTTTATTTTTGTTATTAATAATAAAATAACAAAAATAAAACATTATAACATGTATTAGGTTTTATTTTTATTATTAATAATAAAAGAATAAAAATAAAACTTTATCAAATGTATTATGTTTTATTTTTATATTTTATTACTTCCCTTCTACGTGACTTTACCGAAAGAACCAAGAAGATGAATCCCTGCAATCACGAAAGCTTTAAATCGAAATCCCCTGTATAGCTTCAACAGACTGTTGGGACAAGTGCTGTTTGCAAGCGCCTATTAAGGCCGGAACGAGACACACCGCACCAGGTACTAATTTGAGGCTGAGTCGACCTAGGAGAGGCTCAGGACCGGTTCGGATAATCGTCACCGGTGTTGGCCGTGAGCGGGAACCGAACGCGGGTCGCCGGGTTCATAGCGCTGCGCCACCGCTCCCCGCACACACATACGCATGTACAAACACGCACACACGTACACAACTTAAGACACACGCTCCAACACACGCGAACACCCGCCTACGTGCCCAGAACTGACTGTTGTTAGCGTGGCACCGTCAGAAGGCACGGTGGACGTGTGTGCGTGCCTTGGCGGAGGGCTGGTGAGCGGGGAAGTCACCCAGTGATCCCAGGTGCTGTAGCAGGGAGCTCAGCTCTGCAAGCACGCGGGATGGGAGGGAGTCCTGTAGAGGGCTGACTGTGTGTGGGGTGGTGCACACATCCAGCCAGCTGTCCGTACACACACACATGTTACACACAGCACACACATACATGTTACACACAGCACACACACATTACACACATGTTATACACATTACACTGACACATGTTACACACAGCACACACACGTTACACACACCTTATACACATTACACTGACACATGTTACACACTGCACACACACATTACACACATGTTATACACATTACACTGACATGTGTATCACACAGCACACACATTACACATATGTCATACACACGTTACACACACACGTTATACGTACGCATTACACATGTTACACAAACGTTATACTTACACACTTACATGTTACAAACGTCATACTTACACCAGTTAAACGAAGCACACACGTTAAACATACAATACACACGCTATATACACACGTATTCACACGGCACACATTAATAATACGATATACACACGCACAGACGTGGCATTAGACACACTATACAGATTCAACAAACTATGTACATGCATACACATCACACATCGGACACGGCAATATTACTACGATGATCATGGTGCGGTGTGTGGATGTGCACGGTTTGTCTTATAAGAGCGTAGTTAAGTCATGTTCTACACGCTTTCATTTAACTCACTCTGTCTGTTGTCGTTATTGTTGTTGTATCTTCAAATCTCGTAACTCAATTTTAACCCACTTACCAATGTGGTATCCGACTGCAAACTTGGTATAATGATGACAAAAATATATTCTGTCATTAAAAATAACTAAGAATATATTTTTAAATCCTTTATATTAAGTTCGCTTGCTTGCTTGCTTACGACCGTGCAAACCTTTCGGTCGTTTTTTAACCCACTTCCCGTGATCCAATCGAGCTGACATTTTGCACACAGACTCGTTGTGCGAGACAATTAATGTTCGTGAAAATTTTTTTCCAAAATTTTACACTGTTTAGGGAAAACAAATTAAATATTTAATTACCAATTGTTTAATACTGCAGACAATCATCTGACCCATAGGTGGCAGCCATCTCAAGCCAGAGGACGAGAGGACTCTAGCTGCCACGCATATAAAGGATTTAGAGTGAAAAACTTTGTTTTTACGGGTTATACTTATTTTGCATTCTTTTTTATACGTTACGTTTCGGCTTGGGTCTAATTGTCCACGCTCAACTGACGTTGGCTATAATTGGCCCCGGTCCCTTACGTTGTGGCAAGCTTAGGGGCCACTTCCTGGAGTCGTGGAGTTCTTCCATTACTAGTACATTTCATGAAAGCGTGTTTTTTTTAAAGTTTTTTTTAAATATTACTTTTTTTTTCAATATACTTGAATATACTTTAAAAGACCGATGCTCGCCATCGAACGAAGGCGGGCACCGCATCGCGCGCCGCTTTCAGACGCGCGTTCAGTGGCCGTCTGGAACGCTCTTCCTTACCGATATGAGGAAGCCATTGGGAGCTCTGCCACTTTTAAATCATCAACTGACGTTGGCTGCAATTGCCCACGGCCCCTTACGTTGTGGCAAGCTTCGGGGCCACTTCCTGGAGTCGTGGAGTTCTGCCATTACTAGTACATTTCATGAAAGCGTGTTTTTTAAAAAGTTTTTTTTAATATTACTTTTTTTTTTCAATATACTTGTATATACTTTAAAAGACCGATGCTGGCCATCGGACGAAGGCGGTCACCGCATCGCGTGCCGCTTTCAGACGGGCGTTCAGTGGCCGTCTGGAACGCTCTTCCTTACCGATATGAGGAAGCCATTGGGAGCTCTGCCACTTTTAAATTATCAACTGACGTTGGCTGTAATTGGCCACGGTCCCTTACGTTGTGGCAAGCTTCGAGGCCACTTCCTGGAGTCGTGGAGTTCTTCCATTACTAGTACATTTCATGAAAGCGTGTTTTTTAAAAAGTTTTTTTTAATATTACTTTTTTTTTTCAATATACTTGTATATACTTTAAAAGACCGATGCTGGCCATCGGACGAAGGCGGTCACCGCATCGCGCGCCGCTTTCAGACGCGCGTTCTGGCAGCCGTCTGGAACGCTCTTCCTTACCGATATGAGGAAGCCATTGGGAGCTCTGCCGCTTTTAAATCATCATCTCGATCAGGGCTGGGGAACCTTTTTTCTGACAAGGGCCATTTGGATATTTATACAACATCATTCGCGGGCCATGCAAAATTGTCAACTTCAAAATGAGCCTGTTGTTATATTTGGTCAAACGTTTAATTAACTCGCCCCTAATGCGATGGGCTGGAACTGTTTCTCTTTGGCGAGGCATGTGATGTTAGCTGGTATTGATGATGCTGCTACTCGCAACTGCTTTTCCAGGTTTGCTCCTAGATTTGTTGAATTTCGAGTCCCGCCTGCGGTTGCCTTGGCAGGGCCAGAGACCAAATGATTTCGCGGGCCGGACGTTCCCCACCCCTGATTTAAGTTGACAAACTCATTTCTTTAGAACCGCTCGTTGTTGTGTTGAGTTTGTTGTCCTTTCACTGCACCTCCGATTAGCACGGGAGGCTACGTAAGTTCCACATCCGTGCATAAATAGAGAAGCACAGGATCATGTGGAGACCCATAGACTCAGATAGAGACCCACAGACTTGCATAGATTGAACACAATAGAAATGTCTCTAAAACTCAGACGCTGTCGCCTCGACAGACCTGTTCTTCACCTGAGGACGGCTGCTTGCGTTGTGGCCGAAACGTCGTGAGAATTATTTTATTATGTTTAATTTTTATTATTTTTTTACTTCCCTTCTACGTGACTTTACCGAAAGAACCAAGAAGATGAACCCCTGCAGTCACAAAAGCTTTAAATCGAAATTTAAGACCAACAGACTTGCATAGATTGAACACAATAGAAATGTCTCTAGAACTACTTTTTGGATGGCTACGTAAGTTCCACATACGTGCATATATAGAGAAGCACAGGCTCATGTGGAGACCCATAGACTCAGATAGAGACCCACAGACTTGCATAGATTGAACACAATAGAAATGTCTCTAGAACTGCTTTTTGGGTGGCTACCTAAGTTCCACATCCGTGCATATATATATAGAAGCACAGGCTCACGTGGAGACCCATAGACTCACATATAGACCCACAGACTTGCATAGATTGAACACAATAGACTTTTAAAAAATGTCTCTAGACCTGTTCTTTGTTTACTTGGTTGTCCGTCCCCCCGCACCTCCAGTTTGCCCGGCCTGCTACGTACAGGGGTGGTGTGAAAGAAGTTGCACGTGCCATACGTGAGATGACGATGATGCTCTCACCGATAGATGCTGATGCGGACATACAGCATGAACTTCACACACTCCTTCCGAATGCCCTCAGCTTCGCAGTGAATTCCTTTGAGCTGCCCTAAATACACACACACACAAATATACGTACAAGGTCCCCCGCGAAAGCCTTCGACTGTTGGGGCAAGTGCTGTTAACGAGAAGCACCTATGAAGGCCGGCACGGCACACGAGGGGGTGGTGTGGCCAGCACCACGCCCGGCCGAACTTTGTCTCCCCAGTGGCGATGTTTCTAAACACCGCACCAGGTACTCGTTTGAGGCCGAGTCGACCTAAGAGAGGCCCAGAACGCGATTCAGATAATCGTCGGGTTCGTAGCACAGCGCGCTAACCGTTGCACTACCGCTCCCCTATACACACACAACAACAACCGCCATTCGCCACTAAGTGGCGGTGACGTCACCACGGCGCTTGTGCCAGGCCATGTGCACGTTGAGGCCACGTGAAGTGTCGAACGCCCGCTGGCAGGAGGTCACGGGGCAGACCCAGGTGCCATAGGTCGACTGACTGAGATGACTTGCCTATGCACCAAATGTGCCCCCTGCTGTGCCAACATACACACACAGATATACATACAAAGACCCCCCCCCCACCACCTATAGGCTTAGACTGTTGGGGCAAGTGCTGTTAGCGAGTACGGATGAAGGCTGCCGTGGCACACAAAGGGGGTGGCACAGCCACATACAGCTCCTTACGCAGCAGGGCATGCAGGGAACAAAACCAAATTAAAAGCATTCTGGGAAGGGTGGCAATGGGGTCAGATGACTGCACAAGAGGTGGGAATTAGAAGGTCACTCATTTAAGGCTGAGCTTACCTGGTGGCGTATCACTCACCACTGTGTTGTGTGCGAGTTAAAATACGTGTGCGTGTGTGTGCGTGTGTGTGCGTGTGTGCGCGTGTGTGTGTGCGTGTGTGTGCGGGGAGCGATAGTGTAGCGGTTAGCGCGCTGCGCTATGAACCTGGCGACCCGGGTTCGATTCCCGCTCACGGCTAACACCAGTGACGATTATCTGAACCGGTCCTGGGCCTCCCCTAGGTCGACTCAGCCTTAAATGAGTACCTGGTGCGGTGTGTAAACATCGCCACTAGGGAGACAAAGGCGGTCGGGCGTGGTGCTGGCCACCCACCCCCTCGTGTACCGTTCCGGCCTTCATAGGTGCTCGCTAACAGCACTTGCCCCTACAGTCTGTTAAGGCTATACGGGGGATCTTTGTCTTTATCTTTGTGTGTGCGTGTGTGCGTGTGTGTGGGTGTGTGTGTGTGTGCGTGTGTGTGTGTGTGCGTGTGTGTGCGTGTGTGTGTGCGTGTGTGTGCGTGTGTGTGTGCGTGTGTGTGTGCGCATGCCGATCAGTGGGGAACGGTAGTGTAGCGGTTATCGCTACAAACCTGGCGACCAGAGTTTGATTCCCGCTCACGGCCAACATCGGTGACGATTATATGAACCGGTCCTGGGCCTCCCCTAGGTCGACTCAGCCTCAAATGAGATGTGTAAACATGGCCACTCGGGAGATAAAGGCGGCTGGACGTGGTGCTGGCCACCCACCCCCTCGTGTGCCGTGCCGGCCTTCATAGGTGCTCGCGAACAGCACTTGCCCCAACAGTCTGTTAAAGGCTATACGGGCTATCTTTGTATCTGTGTATATGTGTAAGTCCGTGCGTGCGTGCGTAAACTCGTGCATGTGTGTATGTCTTTGTGAGTAAACTCACGTGTGTATGTAAGCTCGTGCATGTCTGCCTTTTGTGTAAACCCATGTGTGTGTAAAACTGTGTATGTGTGTGTAAGACCGTGTGTGTGTCTTTGTGTGTGAGCCCATGCGTGTGTGTATGTCTTTGTGTGTAAGCCCGTGTGTGTGTATGTCTGTGTGTAAGCACGTGTGTGTGTTAGCCCATGCCTCCGTGTGGTGTATGTCTTTGTGTGTAAGCCCGTGTGTGTGTATGTCTGTGTGTATGTCTTTGTGTGTAAGCCCGTGTGTGTGTATGTCTGTGTGTATGTCTTTGTGTGTAAGCCCGTGTGTGTGTATGTCTGTGTGTAAGCACGTGTGTGTGTCAGCCCATGCCTCCGTGTGTGTGTGTGCGTATGTCTGTGTGTAAGTACGTGTGTGTGTATGTCTGTGTGTTTGTCTGTGTGTAAGCCCGTGTGTGTGTATGTCTGTGTGTAAGTACGTGTGTGTGTGTGTCTTTGTGTGTGTGTGTGCGCGTATGTCTTTGTGTGTAAGCCCGTGTGTGTGTATGTCTGTGTGTAAGTACGTGTGTGTGTGCGTATGTCTTTGTGTGTGTGCGCGTATGTCTTTGTGTGTAAGCCCGTGTGTGTATGTGTATGTCTGTGTGTAAGTACGTGTGTGTGTGCGTATGTCTTTGTGTGTAAGCCCGTGTGTGTGCGTATGTCTTTGTGTGTAAGCCCGTGTGTGTGTGTGTGTGCGTATGTCTTTGTGTGTAAGCCCGTGTGTGCGCGCGCACGGAGCTAAACCCGGAATAAATTTTAAATCCGCAGCAGCAGAAAGAAAAGAAGAAAAGGGAGGGAGAAGAGAGGGAACTCTAAAGCTGTGTCTGTAGCCAGCACAAACCCCGAGAGCTGCTCCGTGCGTGTGTGTGTGTGCGAGTGTGTGAGAGGCGCGTGCGCGTGTGTGTGTGCGCGAGTGTGTGAGAGGCGCGTGCGTGTGTGCGAGCGGAGTCTATGGCAGCGCCAGCCTTAATAGGTGCTCGCTAACGCAAGTTGCCGCGGGAGTATTTTAAAGGCAACAGGGGGGATCTTTTCGAGTCAATTTTCAAAGACGGTCGGGCATAGTGTTGGCCACCCACCCCCTCGTGTACCGTGCCGGCCTTCATAGGTGCTACTCGCTAACAACACTTGCCCCAACAGTCTGTTAAGGCTACACGGGGGATCTTTATATCTGCGCGAGTGTATACGCGTGAAACTGTCTGTAGCTGCGCGTGTGTCCAGTCAAATCCATGGCACCTGGGTCTTTCCCGTGACCCCCTCCTGCCAGCAAGCCTTCAACACTTCACGTGGCTTCAAAGTGCAGCTAGCCTGGCACAAGCGTCGTGGTGACGGGGATTGTTGTTGTGTCCGGCAGAGTGGTGAGGCGTGGAGCAGACGTTTGCAGCGCTGCACTACGAACCTGGCCCCCCCGACTTCCAATTCCCGCTCACGGCCAACCAGAGGTCGCAACCGGGTACCCGATACCCGTACCCTACCCGATACCCGGCTACCCGTACCCGGCCAGGTACGGGTACCCGTTTGCGACCCTGGTGCGGCCGGGTACGGGTACGGGTAGGCCGTGAGTCACTGGTGAGTAACCGTTTGACACTCATTTCCCAACGTCTTGTCTCTTCTCACAATTCAAGTTCCTAGAATCAACCCACCCGCGCCTGCAACATGGCTTCATCCCAGAGGTCGCAATCAGGTACCCGATACCCGGCCGGGTACGGGTATGGTACGGGTACCCGTTTGCGACCCTGGTGCGGCCGGGTACGGGTAAGGAATCAAAACCCGTTTGCGACCTCTGGTCCAGCACAAACCCCAACAGCCACACTATGTGTGTGTGTGTGTCTGTACAAATTCGTGCGTATCTTTTAACGTGTGTGTGTGTGATTGTGTGCGTCCGTGTACGTGTCTGTGCGACACTTTCGTGAGTGTGCGTTTGCGTCCGTGTGCGTGTCTGTTCGCACAGCTGAATGTGTGCGTTTGCGTGTCTGTTCGCACAGCTGAATGTGTGCGTTTGCATCCCGTGTGCGTGTCTGCGAGCGTGCGCGCATCCGAGTTTGTTTCCCTAAGTGTCTTTCTAGATTTGAAGGTTTCGTGACTGCAATGATTCATACTCTTAGGTTTTTTTCGGTAAAGTCACGTAGGTAAAAAATTAAATTAAAATTAATACAAATAAATAATAATAAAAATCACGACGTTTCGGAGGCAACACAAGTCTCCGTCATCAGGTGGGACCGTCACAGCCAGATTTGCTGTATCAAGTGAGGCCTCGGATTTTCTGTATCGAGTGAGGCCTCACTTGATACAGAAAATCTGGCTGTGACGGTTCCAACTGATGACGGAGACTTGTGTTGCCTCCGAAACGTCGTGATTTTTATTATTATTTTATTTTTATTAATTTTTATTTCATTTTTTACCTACATGGTGACTTTACCGATTAAACTAAAAGTATGAATCCCTAAGTGTCGTCATTGGTGTTGCAGTGAGCACCTGCCCCCAACAGGCTGTTGGGAGGCTATCGGGGGGAACTTTGTCTTCGGAAATGTCTGCTTGTCTTTGTGCATGTCAGTGTACGTGTGGAGCAATGGTGCAGTGGTTCGCACACCGCTCTACGATACCGGCTACCCGAGTTCGATTCCCGTTGATGGTCAACTCCAGTGACGGTTATCTGAACCGGTCATGGGCCTCCCCTAGGTCGACTCAATCTATAATGAGTACCTGATGCTGCGTACAAACATCGCATCTGTGTGTGTGTGTATATGCCGGGCGTGGTGCTGGCCACCCACCCCCCCTCGTGTGCCGTGTCGGCCTTAATAGGTGCTACTCGCTAACTGCACTTGCCCCAACAGTCTCTAAAGCCTATACGGGGGATCTTTGTGTGTGTTTGCGAGTGTGTACGTGTGTTCTATGCGTGAGTATACATGTGTGAAAGTGGACTTTCGCATATATAAAAAAGATAAATCCACGTGAAAACACGTACAAACATCTGTGTATCTGTGAGTGCACACGCTATTTTGATGTAAGCGTATCTGCGTTGTCACTGTGCGTATATCTCGATGTGTTTACGTATGTGTGCGTATGTGTGCGTATCTGTGCGTTCGTATATATTCGTGGATATACGTGTGTGTGTGTGTGAAAGGGAATGTTTGTGTACGTGTGTAGTTCTCCGCGTGGGTGTGTATGCGTGTATATATCTATAGTGTACAGTATATCTCTAGAAGTGTATTCGCGTGTGTGTGTGTACGTATATTTATACGAGTGCGCGTAGATATGTCTTCATGGACGTTTGTGCGTGTGAAGCATGTGTATGTGCATGTATATCTCTTTGCATGGGAGCATGTGCGCGTGCGTTTGAG